ATACATGGTGAAGAACTTTTCATTTTATAGATGTTTTGGACTACCACAATCCATGGCATTTAACATATTGTGGCCTAATCTTGGATCCCAAATATTCCCCGTCTCTATGCTTGCCCTCTTTGAAATGTTTGATAAGAGGCTCCTTGAGGGAGACCAAGTCTGACTGATAGGACCAAGAGATGCAGTCGCATTTGAAATCTGAAATGTGAGCTTCAACAGGAACATAACAAAACACTTGGCATTTAGATGCAAGAAGAGGCTCAGGTTGCTGAAGACATGTCTTCTTGTCATTTATATATGCCATCAGCTTTTGCCAAAAGCCTTGCCTGGTTTAATAAATAAATAGAAATAACACACTGGTCCCCATTTACCTTGTAAAGAGCCAGCATGTAGTGATTTGAGCATTGGACTAGGACTCTGGGAGACCAGAATTCAAATCCCAGTTCGGCCATGTAAACCCACTGCGTGAGGCTCGGCAAGTCACACTCTCTCAACCTCAGAGGATGGAAATGGCAAAACCTCTCTGAGCAAAACTTGCCATGATAGGTTCACCTTAGGGTCTCCATCAGTCTGAAATGGCTTGAAGGCACACAACAACAACAACTATATTGGTTCTTTTTTACCTTAATTGTGGCTCACACAGTCTCCCCGTCGACTGAAGGATCATTCACATTTGTTGTTGCTCTGTGGCTTGAAGTGTGAACAGGCCAAGACTTAACAATTTAAGTGATGGCAGCCTTTTTGTTTGTTTGTTCCAGCTGTACGAAGTCCAGTGATAAAAGTCTGCAGTTCAGAAGCAAAGAAGCCCCCTGCAATTGAGGCCTACCTTGGCAGAGAGAGTGAGTTGTATTGGGTGAATGGGACTTACTAGAATGCTCAGGATGTCTCACCTGTGACATCAAAGGATGCCAGAATCCCTTCACACAGCTGAGGCTTCTGTCCCATTCTTTCAGTATCGTTCCTGATAAGGATTCCTCCTCATCCAGCCAGTGATGCATCCAGCAGTGATACAAGAGACATCATTATGCTGAAAGATGGCAGGTGCTCAAAACTAAAAACATTATATGGGGGAATGGGTACTGTCCAAATTTTGAATTGCACACAGGAGAGGACTAGACCAACAAGCAGCAAAAGCATAAAATACCTCAAGGCCCAGCTGAGCAAATGAAAAACACTGCAGGAGAGAGTGGTGTCTGATCAAGACTAGCTCTACATTTTTATTGGCAGTAGTATGAGGTAAGGGGCCTCATAACGTACTGCCATTAGTAGCTATAGAAGCTGTAGAAATTTAGGAAACACGACAGCTTATGTCGCTTTTTTTGACAGTGGTATAAGACTAATAGGATTTCCTTTATCTAGGATCCCATTCCCAGAGAACAGCAGGGGGAGAAAACAGCCACACAACCAGAACTTCATTTAGAGCCAGGGTGGGCAACAGTGGAAAACTAGTGGACTAGATTTTCCTTCCAGGATAACTTAAGAGGGCTATACCCCCTACTGAAATTTGCCTTTTAAAAATGCCCCCAAATGCCCTCTAGGCAGAACAGGGGCATGTTTTGGGGTCTTTCTTGGGAAAGGTTTTGACCACTGGCAATCCATTAGGGCTCCAAATGCAGTAGAAATGCTCTCCACACACTGTTTTCTCCCCCTGCTGTTCTCTGGGAATGGGATCCTAGAGATAATTTTTGGTTATCTTGGAGCAAAAATTGATCACAAAACTGCCTAGGGCAACATGGAGCCCACAATCTGTTCACGTCTGATCTAGGACATTGTGTCACTGCTTATGTTATTGTGGTACTAGTTTTCAGTAGCAGCAGGAAAGCCTCTCTGCAGCTTTGATACAGTGAATAAATGGATAATTACTCATAGCTTGGCTTCAGCAATACAGGCAGCACTCTCAATGGCAACACGCCAGAACTTTCCAATGTCATTTGCCACCACCCACAGACTTCCATGTTTCCTCTGAGCCCAACTGCACCCTCACAGTAAGTAGCAAATATGTGGTAGATTCTTCCAGCAATTATGTGCATTTCTGGCTTAGGGCAACCCTAAGAAAAACATACCTCAGG